CCCACCCCCAAACTAAAGGAAATAAGTTTTTTATCCGACATCGATCTTTTGACGTCGTCCCTAACTTGATTCTATTTCATTCACAAGCAACATTGTTGCTGTGGTTGATGTAAACAAAAGAAATGTTGAATGTTGTAAACAAATGACACATTTTCCAGATAAGAAAAAATACAAATGTATTCACACTTTTGAACACTTTTTTTTTTACTGCCAGTTGTAAATAATGCAGTTTGGGTGTTTTATTATTGTGTTACAGCAGGGTTTGAATATAGGAGTTGAAAGCTAGGTCACCCACTTTTAAGGCATAGTTGTTGTTGCTTGGGTGCCTCCATACAGTCCTGCTATAGAATAAATCTGTCCAAAATATTTGTCTATGTTTTGCATGCAAAATAATTAACAGTGCAAAATATTCACAAAATGAGATTGAATTGCAACTCAAATTTAGTTGCAGTATTCCCCCACAGCCATGTTCAGGATACATCATACATGTATCCTCCAAAGTTTAATTTTAAAATTGAAAAAAAATTAGTTGGAAGTTGATTTAATGGTAAAACATTGCAGAACATTACCCGAAATTATCACTGAAATTTCACTATAGTTTTGTTTGCTAACTCTTAAAAATCTACATAGACATGCAGCTTCTGTTTTATTTTACTTTACTTTGCTTACCCATTTTACTTATACTTATCTAGCCACTTTTCAGTGATAAATAACTTGTGTTTGCTCCACAGCTTTGCCTAATGACACTAAAGTTGCCTTGGATTATGTCAAATCATTGCTTCATGTTGAGGTATTTGAGTTCCGCATTCCAACAATTATCTTCAAACATCAGATCTATAGTATTGTACATAATAAAACCACAGTTGACAGACAGCTTGTAAGTACAATTTATTTTATAACTTCTAAACATTTTCAGGGTCATCATCTTCTGCCTAGTATACATTTTATTTTTTCACATGGTGCTAAGTTAACATTAACAGTTGTGACGTTTAGTGTGAAATATCTTTACCTGACATGGTACGGTAAACATCGCAATATTCATGTTGAACAACATCATTTTACCTGTGTACGTTCAAAATCCCGAAAAAACAAATAGTGCAGAGATACAATAATTTCAGTGTGGATAACAACAAATTACAATTTCTTAAATAGGACAATGATACTAGCTCATAACAATATTGACTGGTACTTCACCTAAAAAAATATCTGTTAGCTAACTGCAAATGCAAATAGTCAATGAAATAAAATATTGGAGAAAATTAATGTTTTTACAGTAGTAATTACACAGATGGATAATCAATTTTTTGTAGGCTCCATTGATGACTTTGTCGAACAGAGCTCATCATATGTGTCATTGTCCATCGTCCACTGCGTCAATTCTTTACTTTTTCAACTTCTTCTTGAAAACTACAAGCCTGATTGCTTTGATACTTGGGCAAACCTCACTTAGATTTATCGTAGGTAGATTTGTTCATTTCATGGCATGATGATGATATCTTTAATTCTTTCATTGAAAAATTGACCTTTAACATTGTCGTAATGTCCTGTTTCTGTAGGAAGAATTAAAAGAGAAGAAAGTAATCAAGATGTTTAAACTTGGGATTGCAGTTGATGAATTCTGTATAGTGTTCACAGATGACTATAAACAACATGTTAAGAGACAAGAACCTGATAATAAAACGATTGATAAATTCCTTGACACTGTTGTGGATAGATGTCCAGATGTCAGTCTGACTAAATCCACTATGATCAACGAGTTTTGTTTTACTGATGAGGAAATTACGTAAGTTGAACTTATTAACATCTGTATATCTTTAACAGCATTTGATTATCACTGGTATTGTATTTTCTTAAATTATAAGTTGAAGTGCATTTCTAATAGAAGTTCACATGCACCAAACATTGCATATATTTTATACATCTACTGGACTTGACTTTGAACTGTGGTCTACCGATCGAAACCCGGATGCAATAACCATTATACTATCAATGACTACCTGTCATAATGACCCCAGTAAGGTCTCATGTGTTGCAATACTAATTTTCTCTGATTCAAACAATTTACTAAAACATGTCTGTCATGAAACAAAAGTATATCACAGACTCGCTCTTCCTGAAATAAATAAATGAATGAATGAATGGAAGGGTG